AGTGCCTGAAAAACATGGGTGGCAGAGCTTCGTGCTCTCTTGACTCAGTTGCAAATGACTGCTCAAAGTCGAGATAAGAAAAAGGCCCTGCATATCTCTATGATCCTGGGCTGACAAATTCTCCCTGAAGTCTCAGTGGAGCATTGCAACACTCAACATATGACTTCTTTTCCTCTGAGACTGGCAGTCCATGTGTTAGGCGTTTGGATTGACTACAGGAATGGGAAAATGCTTCACACAATCCCCAAATTCGGGGCTCTGACTAATGAAAAGCTCTCCTATTCACTGCCTTTCTCGGTGCAGGACAGCAGGCTGCCCTGGCATGTCCTGCTGGGGAGGGCAAGAAGGTTGGGAGGAGAGCATGGGTGGCACTGGTCCCCTAAGGCAGGGAAGCACTAAAACCATCTTTCTGAGTACTGCCACAGTCTTTGTCTTTAACACCCACCTGTAGTTATTCGTAAACTGGTGAGCTGGGTTGTAGCCAGGAAACCTCACTTTATTCTGCCCGTCCTCGTGCGCCCCTGTGGTGCGGCTTTCACACTTCCACCCCCTCCCGGGTGCTCCATCCCAGAGAGTGCACAGGCTGCCCGAAGCATCCCGAGATGCGGGCAGGCGCCAGGAGAGGGCAGCGGTGCCCTGGGCTCGGCGCTGCGCGGGGTGCGCGCCCCGCATGCCGAGCGGAGCCTGCGGGGGCTGCGGAGGGTCCTCCTCGGAGCCGCTCCCCGTCCGGCCCCCGAACCAGGGAGGACACAGGGGCATTAAAGGAGATTTTCTGTATCGACCGTAGGGGCTTAGATTTGCTTCTTGGCTGCGGTTCATGTTTCCCATGACGGTCAGACGGCACATAAACCATCACACACACAGATATCCATCTTCAATCCCCAGACTGCAGTACAAGCCATTTCTTAAGGAGTTGCAGGTTTTAGGGCCAGAAGGGACCTTTACAGTGAGGCAGTCCCATCTCTTGTCTGAAATGAGCCTTGGATCGTGATGCCTCCAAACAGCACAGAGCCCAGCAGAGACCTCTCTGAATTAGTGGACGCGTGATGGTTCTCCTCATGACAGCATGTTCTCTCTTCCCCATAGGACTCTCACCAGCTTGGCCTAGCCATTCCTAGCCAGGGAAAGTGTGTGTGCATGTGCAGAGCAGGGAAAGGAGCAACAGAGGAGGGAAAGAGAAAACAAGTGATCTTTAGCCATCATGAAGACCACTCTCCCAGAAAAGCAGCCAGGCTGACAGCCAAAGGGTTATAGGGTGGATATAACAAAGCTAACTACAGATCAAGGCTGTTGCTGGAACACTGGTTTTTGCCATCATATAATATCCGAAGGGAATATCTTGCCTGAAAAGAAATAGGTAGCACTAATACCCAGAATTACTTTAGTTAGCATTAACAACAACAACAAAAAAACCAACAAACAAACAAACAAAAAAAACAAAACAAAAAAAAAACAAACAAAACAAAACAAAACAAAACCACAGAAGTAACGTTCAAATAATGTGAAAGCTTTTATGCCAATCTCTGTTTAAGAAACCAGGAAGGCTTCTGACACAGGACAGACTAATTCATGTCTGCTTGGCAAGAGGTTCTTGCATCTTCTGATTCACCCAGTGCTAGTCATGGGTGCAGGATAGGACACTGGACAAGATGCTCCTCCTGGTTGACCTCATCTGACCAGTTCTGTGTTCCCATTTTCCACAGTGAAGAAAAGTTGCCGTGTATGGTTTTTTTGCACTGGCAATCTAGTAACAATGAATGAGGAAAAGGCTGAGGTACTTAGCAATTATTTTTTGCCTCAGCCTTCACTGGAAACCTCTCTTTCCTCTCCTCCTAAGGAGTGCACTGAAGGACAGGCATTGAGGGAACAAAGCCCCTACCACTATAAGGGAAGATCAGGTCCATGACCACCTGAGGAACCTGAACATACCTAAGTCTATGAGACCTGACAAGATGTATCCCACAGTGCTGAGGGAATTGGCTGACATGGTTGCCAAGACACTCTCCATGATATTTGAAAAGTCATGGCAGTCAGGTGAAGTCCTGCATGATTGGAAAAAGGGAAATCTTGCACCCATTTTTGAAAGCGGTAGAAAGAATGAGCCTGGGAACTACCGACCTGTGAGCTCTGTACCTGGGAAGATCATGGAACAAATCCTCCTATAAACAGTGCTAAGGCACATGGAGGACAGGGAGGTGGTTCAAGACTGCCAGCATGGCTTTACCGAGGGCCTGACCAGCTTCATGGTCTTCTAGGAGGGAGGGACTACATCAGTGAACAAGGGAAGAGCTATGGATGTCATCTACATGGATTTCTGTAAATCCCCCACGACATCCTTCTCTCTAAATTGGAGAGAGATAGATTTATTAGATGGAGTGTTCAGTGGATGAGGAACCGGTTGGATGGTCACATCCAGAGGGTAATGGTCAACAGCTCAATGTCCAGATAGAGATCAGTGACAAGTTCTGCCCCTCAGGGGTCCCTGGTACCAATGCAGGCTGAGGGATGAACAGATCGAGAGCAGCCCTGCCAAGAAGGACTTCGGGGTGCTGGTGAATGAAAAGCTCGACATGCATCAGCAGTGTGTGCTTGCAGGCCAGAAAGCCAATTGTATCCTGGGCTGCATCAAAAGCAGTGTGACCAGCAGATCAAAGGAGGGGATTCTGCCCCTCTACTCTGCTCTTGTGAGACCCACCTGGAGTATTTCATCCAGGTCTGGAGCACCAAATATAAGAAGGACATAGAGCTGTTGGAGTGGGCCACAATGAGGGATGGAACACCTTTCCTGGGAGGAAGGGCTGAAAAAGTTGGGGTTGTTCAACCTGGAGAAGAGAAGGCTTTAGGTAGACCTTATAGCAGCTTTTCTATACTTAAAGAGGGCTTCTAAAAAAATGAGAACAACGGTTTCCTAGGGCCTGTTACAATACAACAAGGGATAATTGTTTTATACTAAAAAAGGGCAGATTTAGACTAGATATAAGGAAGAAATTTTTTACAGTGTGGGTGGTGAAACAGTGGCACAGGTTATCCAGAGAGGTGGGTGGATGCCCTATTCTTGGAAACTTTCAAGGTCAGATTGGGCTAGACTATGAGCAACCTGACCTAGTTGAAGATGTCCCTGCTCATTGCAGGGAGTTTGGACTAGGTGACCTTTAAAGGTCACTTCCAACCCAAACTGTTCTATGATTCTAAAAAGCTCTTATTTGGTTTCTTTCAGTTGTTTCTTGTGAGTTTAAATGATCCTTTTTATTTGTGTTTACTGCAGATCTCATTGGCAAAGCATGAGAACCACAGGTGAAGCAAACTGGCAACAAAAGAAAAACCTGTCTATTGATCTATGGTTCTTGCTCTCACAGAAGGAAAAAGAGTAAATCACAGTTGGTAAATACAGTCAAAAGTAATAAAAATCTTAGAAAATAGTTTGTGCTTTTACACACTAATGTCTCAATGCAGAAAACAGTTATGCATATAATTAATATTACCAAGCTGATAATCCCATTGTGGCCCATGAGCTGTAGGTATTTGCATTTTTATAAAAAGCCACCATAAGAAGCCATGATAAGATCTTTCAGTTCTACCTCAGTCAGGCCAGGTGCAGGATATTATGTCCTTATGAATGTGTGGAGGAATAGCATTTTGAGGAAAATTATTATAATTAATAGATATTATAGGATCAAGACCTGATTATAAATAACAAGGTCATCGCTAAAATGGGGATACTTTCCAACCAGTTTTAAAGTTTTTCTAGAAAAAAATAGGTCGGGCCACACTAAATGGCATTTCAGGCAATTATGAAATCAGTTTGGAGGAACTGATTTAAAAGTTATATGAGATACATCCTTAAAAATTACAAGCTTGGGGAACTCAGATCGCATTTTTGTGATTCTGCTCTAAGCATGAAACTTTGGTTTCAAAAATCAGAATAACACCTGGACCTAATAAAATAAATGCAAGAAAGAGCTGGTCAGAAAATGTCCTGGAAACAGTCTTTCTCTTATGTTATAGGTATGTATGGATGGAATGAATGCCAAACTTTCGCTGAAGTTCTTAGGGCCACACTCATCACCTTCATAATCCTGACTCCTCAGAGATCACAGACATCTCCTTGCAATCACACCCTGGAGTCACTGATACATGTTTCATTTGGCTGGGAATTGTCTCCTTCTGAGCACTGCAGTTGCACGTACTGTATGAAGGCTTGTTCCTACGAAAAAGTGCAGCTGGGATTTGAGCCGTTGCTTGTATTTATGCTTGGTCTGTTTTTTCATGAGGTCTGTCCTGTGTGATACTGATGATAATTCTTGTGTGGCTAGACAGCTCTGTGTCTGGACACTGTTCCCACAGACAGAAAAACCCAGCCTGATAACTCATATTGGTGAAACTGAAGTGTGATAGGAGTAAAAATAATAACAAGCATTTTTAAATATGTTGTGTACTTTTAAGTTTCTACATAGAAATCTAGAGCTGGCACTGCTATAACATTTTGACAGAATGGACATTGTTCCTGTCTGATGATTCAGCAGAGCAGCTGAGCATGTGTTTAGATATGAACGACAGCAGGGATGGAAGGAGAGAGGAAAATATGATCAAATGTAGCTGTTCTTCCTAGGTGGGCCTGGACCCTGGAGATATTTGTGATGAGGAGGTGTTCATTAGAAATCAGGTAATTTCATCAGGGTTAGCCAGAAAAATGTTACCTCTCAAGAGAAGAGGGAACCGGGAAGATTTACTTCATACTGGTAAAATGCATAATAATACATATATTAATACATAGCCAGCCTCCAAGTCAAGTCCTCTCCAGCATCATCCCCATGGAACACATGCACGTGTCAATAATTTCAGCATTCCAGTGTCTGGTTCCCGTGCAGGAAGAGGTTAATTATGTCTCAGCCTTTATGGCACAAAGTAAAAGCTCTTGTTATTTTTGTTTTGTTGTTTTTTTTAAAAGAAAAAGCTGTGTGGACAAAGAGGCAGGCTTTAAATATTTGTGGAGGCTGCTTGGCAACAAATTGCATGCGATCTTTATAAAAACAATGAGTTCTCATAGAATTTACATTGTGTTCGAACTGGGTGCTAATGGCTCCTGACCAGTGCTCAATGACTGGTCTGTGGGAAGAAACAGGGAGAGAGGTGTTATATTGTGCATTGTGTGTTGCTATTCCAGCTTTCTGAGAAAGAGGAGCTGTTAGAAGTTGAGGACCAGGGTGGGAATAAAACTGTGGCTTTTACAGCACATAAAATGCATGAGGTGAGAGCTGACACTGATTGTGGCTGTGCACTCAAGGCCACTGCTCCGGGGGCGGGGAATCTGCACACACGCGCACACACACACACACAGACACACAGACACACAGACACACACACACACACACACACGACATGGTGCTCCCAAATATAACCGATGGCTGCAGGCCTGTCTCCTTCGGTCTCAGGAAATAGCTGTGCTTCCAGTATTTTTCCTTCAGAAATGACATCTACTTGTCTGCAGCAAAGGCACTATTAAGCAGATTGCAATCCTTTCCCTATCGGTTGGGAACTGATTTAAAACTGATATATTGACTGTTCAGCTGTGCAGGAAAGGCAGAGCAACCCTGTGCTTGCAGCTGCTCAAAAATCATTGAAGTCAGCTCAGAGATGATGAGATTTCTCAAAACAATAAGCACTACTTTGTTTGTTTGTTTGTTTGTTTTATTTCCCCTCCACTCCATTTTTGCACTTTCACCTCTGGGATACAAGTGAAGCATGTTTTATTAGGTTTCTTCCACTACTGCTGAAGCAAAAACATACTTCATCCCTCCCCCAAATTTTCTTCCTGGCAGGAAAAGAGGCTTTTAAGCAAATATCTTTTGCAGTAGCAGTGACAAGAAGCCTGAGCATTTCTGGTACCAGAGGTGCAACCCCTTCCACAATCTGGAGAGGCTACTGATGGCCTTTGGTTAAGAACTTTGGAACCATTCCTGGTGAGAGTAGAAGGGTTAAGCATGTGCAGTACCGAGTTGCTCAAAAAGAATATATAAAAAAGAATTGTGCACAGGTATATCTGATACCCTACCTCAAAATACGAACAAATAAAAACTCTGATCACTGTTGCTTTACTTTTACCAGCCAAAATACAGGCTTTGTTTTCTGTTTATACAGGCAATAATGAAACCACATGGCTTTCCTGAAACTTCCTCCACATGAAGACATATGAATGTAGCAGCTTATAAGAACTGGAAGTCCTATGAGGAGAGGCTGAGGGAGCTGGGGTTGTTTAGTCTGGAGAAGAGGAGGCTCAGCGGGGTTGGATCAAGGGTTGGACTTGATGATCTCAGAGGTCTCTTCCAACCCAGTTAATTCTATGATTCTAAGTAGGGCATAGTAAACAGTCCTGTAAATTCAGTCCTGAATTCAGAGAAATTAAGTGTCTTACACATGATCATGTATGCCCTATGCCACAGCCAAAGCAAAAACAATGTCCAGATTTTTCCAAATTCAGGTGCTCTGAATTGAGTGAATGATGATGATGATAATATCCTTCAGGTGTGTCACTATTTGTGTTTTAACTCTCATTACACACCTAAATGGGGAAGATGAGCTCTTGACAAGTATCACCTGGTAGCAGGGTACCCACTGACTCCCTGAGCCTCTCCATGATGCCATGTCAATGTTATAAGTCTTTGTGAAGTTGCGTGAGAGGAGCACGAGGCAGTGGGTTCCTGTACACAGGTGTCTATGATTGACAGAAATAGCACCAAACAAATCAGATGTTCACATGTTCATGCTCCAACAACACTTCTGTTTACTCCCATATTCACTAATTCCTTATGTATGTGTGTTTATAGGTACATGCATAGATTATTTTATACACACCTGTGGCAGAGAGGTCCTACAGGTTAGACACAAAGAGAGTTACGAACTGTGCTACAACAAATATTTAGCAACATGTATTTTCAAACGTTGTGCCAGTGGTTTTGACTATAAATTCAGATAATGTCACAAAAAATGGACTGCGTGATTTAGTGACTGTCTTGCTGAATTGATAGAAGAGGATTAAATTATAATTATCAAACCATTCACCTTTGTCAGTGGATCTAATTGCAATCTGTTCGATAGCAACAAAAAATGCCGTCTGACGGCAGCTTTGTAGCTTTGTGAATGAGTGAATTAGTTCCCACTGGCTGAGCACTAACTGCATACTGTTATCACTTCACAGTTGCTCTTATGACTTTTGCTTTGCTCAATGGCTTCATTTTCCTAGGTAGAAATCTGTAAGGAATGGAATTAAAACTCTTTGAGCTAGTCTGTGTAAGAGCTGGAAAAATGAAAAGAAAAGCAATATCCTTTTAAGATAAACTTCACAAAACTAAAGGCAAAGGACCATTAGACAGATCCTCTGATATGGCTTTTATTTTACAAGTCATTATACTTCACTCAATTAACCCACTTTCCAATACGCTGTACTGTGAGTATGGCACATCTTCCAGAAAGGCATGCTCTCTCTCTGAAGACATTAAGAGTTGGCAAATCATCATTTCTCTGGATGACTGACTCACTATTAAAATCTCCTCATTTGGATTCATCTTGGCTTCAGCTTCTGGCCATTGGTTTTTGTCTTTCTTTTCCCCAGTGTTTTTAAAAAACCCTTGGGGCCTGGTGTTTTCTTCTTAAGAGGAAAATTAACTGTATGTGTGAAGAGCCCTGAACACTTTGCCTCTTCATGAAACACTTCAGTGGTGTTTCTCACCAATGATCATAAGAAGGAGCTCCTGGGCATATACATATTTTTAAACCAATTGTTCAATAAAATGCAACACAATTTTTAAATGCTGGTAAAAATTACTGAATACAAAAATTCAGAAAAAATTAAAAAATGCAGAACTCTCCATCATGAGTACATGTGGTCACACTTTCACCTCATCCTGGAATCTCAAAAAGCTCCCATAAAAGTTTGTTTGGATCAAATGGGATAAGCTATTGACTTGTATAATAACACGTGACTATACTACAGAAAATCCTTGATTGTTCAAGTTTTGGGCAATTTGGCAGCCTTATCAGATCTTAACAAATCTAGGAGATTTGTCTCATTTTTACCTCAACAGTTCTCAGTATTGGAAACAGTTATTGATGTTGGGACTTCGATTCAAACTTATCACTTACTTTTGTGTTGGTTTTGAGAGGTAGGAGATTGCACCAAATGGGTTTTTTAGCAGTTCTTCTAAGAGTATAATTAGAGTGTTTTCCATCTTCAAGCTTTCTTTTCAAATTACACCAGCTGAAATTTGTACTATGATATCTATGATCATCTGCCAATTCAAGGGTGTTACAATGTAAATGGATGCATTCCTGAACCTCTCTCAGAAGCAAAGTACAGATATTTCCATCAAAGCTGACCTAATAATATTTGCCAAGTGATCATTGCTCATACTCTTGCCTTTGCCTTTATCTGTTGTTTATTTTTACAAAGAAGTAATTAGGCAGGGGAAACCAATGAATAAATACATATAAATCAATCCAGTTTTTAGCTCCTCAACTCATCTCTGTGATACAGGTGTGACTGGATGATGCAGGGGGAAGTTGGACATGGGAAGAGGCAACTTTGATGAAATCCCCATGCTGAACCACTGGCAAGTTACCACTTCAGCCTGCATTTCTATGCTCATGCCCACACAAATACCTACATACCGAGCACAGAAAATTCTTCCTGGTGACCCATACCTGCCAGATACCACCTGAGGGCCCTGCTGACCACAGCAAAGCAGGGACATCAAAACTTCGTTAAGCAAAAGCTCCACTGTGTGTTCTCTAACGTGACTTTTAAAGTGATTAGTCTTTAATAATGTATTGGTTAGAGGTTGATAAACCCTGGAAGATGCTTGCAGTTAACTGTGCTCAGGTGAAGTACCACCAACCATGACTTCTAAACTGCTTCTACAGACACCACAAGGACACATCTGACATTTCTAGAGCTCCTCAAGGTCACACTTTGAAATATAGTACAGAGAAACTTTCTAAATCATCAACTTCCTTCTGCTACAGAACGACTGATGGGTTTTAATTCTCCCTATTTTCAGAGGCTTCTGGCAGAACTGTGACATTAAATATTCAGGGAAATACAAGTAAGGTTTGAAAATGCCTGCTCTGAAAGAGCTTGGAACCATTAGTGCATCTCATACTGCAAAAGCCTCTGCCTGGCAGATTATGCATCAGAGTCATCCACTTCTTACCTCAAAAAATTATTCAGTTTATTTATCAGCTACAGGGAACAGGCCCTCCATTTGAAGCATTTATATATTTCTGCTACTTTACATCCAAAGCTAATATTGTTTGGGAAGGCCAGGGAAGAAATCTCTTCTCGCATCTCTTCCAAAGTCAAGCTGACTTGACACTGGATGTAAAATTGAAACCCCTTCTTCAAACAGAAACAAACAAACAGGAGAAAGGTTTAATTTCTCCTGTGGGGTGCTGCATTGACAGGCAGTTTAGCTGACTGTTGCATTTGAAGATTATTTGACATCTCCAGTGCTGTGAAAGAGGTCAGGCAGTTCAAAAGGAGCCTTCTTGCTTGCTGGCTTCTAAAAAACTCATTCATTTTGTTACTATGATGAAGTACTCAGAATAGATCACACATAATTCATTCTTCCACAAACATTTCATTGCAAAGATACACTAGCTGTTTTTTAAAATATCAAATAATATTTCAGGGCTTGTAGTTTTTGTATTAGGCAGGTTATGCCAGGAAATTACAGAAAATTACAAGAGATTTGAAATCTGCAGATGGAAATCTATGTATACAAGCCAGCAATAGTAGCATTATTTTTATAGCATCTGCAACTGTAGTGCTTGAACACTAATAACTACCTGCTGCCCTGCTTCCAATCCTTATATTCATGGGGTAAAAAACAGACCTGGCAATCTCCATTTTCTACTTGCAGCATTCATTTCTGGTTGGTGTTAGAGCAGGCTGATTTATAATTTACCCCACATTAAATATTTGTAGTTATGTCCAGAAATAGTCTTTGCCAGTGAATATTATTGCAGGGGCCTTGCCTTTTATCTCTAGGGAATACAACGAAAGTACCACAAGTTTGATCAGGATAATTCAGGCAGAAGGTGGTAGCTTGTCTAGCCAGAGTCACTTGAAGCTGAACATGGTGCCACAGAGAGGGTCGCCCCTGAGCAAGTTTCAGCTGGATTGCTGCTTCCTGCACAGCTTCACCACCTTACACAGCCCTGTGGACCCTGCTGTCAGGCATCATGGTCTGCAGAGACACCCACCACACTGAGCCACTGCTCTGCTGTCCCTCTCTCCTTCCACGCAGTAAGTGTGGCACAGCGTAGGCCCCTCTGTTTGTTGGGTTGTTGTTTAAGGTTCTGCTTGCACCAGACCAGCAACTCTGCCTTTGCATGAGGATCAGATAGGATGAAACCACGAATCTCATGTTACGGGAGCAGGTTGTAAAGAGATGGAAAAGCCTAGGAGACACTTGGATGCTCCCAGGGTGAAAGCCTTACTTACTTCTTGGGTCTTTTGCTCGGCCTTTAGGGCACTATACAACACTTAAGGATGGAAAAACAATTGCTTTACTGGTAAACATTGTAACCTTTGTTCAGTATCTACTGGGGCAACAAATCTTCATAGCGTGCTGGAGCATGCAGAAGGGAATCTGAAGGTCCTGAATTCAGTTGGTCACAGACGATTGAGAGCAAGTCAGGCTCAAAGGGACAGAATTACACAATCCTGTCACATGGATGAGAAAACTGCATCCTGCATCCATCAGAAACAGAGGAAAACCAGAAGGGGAATAAAGGGGGAAAATAACAAACAAGTTTCCAAAAACTGGATGGATCTTTTCCTGCGTCAAGCCCTCTCTGAATCAAGGAAGGGTTTTGCCCTAGTAAGGGAGGAGATTTTGAATGAAAAGCTCATGGCAACAGAAACAAATCAGCTCCACAAGTACATAATATTCAAATGAGTTTTACATAACTACTCTCCTTTTCTTCCAACTTCCATCTGGGTGAAAGAATAGCACAAAACCAAACAGAATGTAAGTAAACCAGCCTGAAGGCCAGGGAAGGACCTTTCCCATTGCCTCTGTCAAAGAAAGCATGCATGTTTTCAATAAATCACACCTTAAAATAAACTATGCTTACTGAAGCAAATGAAAAAAACAACAGAGGAAGGACTGAGAGTGACCCACACAACCCTGCTCCCATCACACCAGCTGCCCTGGTGAAGGATCAGAAGGACCTCACCTGCACAGCTCTTGCCCATGGAAGCTGTTCCTCTGATGTCACACCGTCACCCCAAAAGACCAACGCTTGAAAGTAGCGCATTTTGCTATTAAGTTGGTTCAAACAAACTTTACCTTGGTAGAAAGCAAATAAAATAAATTCAGCTCCCATGTTAGAAGTCACTGTAACTCCTGGTATTACTGATGGACTGTGTGATGAAACATATACACAACACATAGAGACCTTCCAGCAAGTTCCATAGCCTATTTATTGCCACTACCTGGCAACAGTTGTGAATCAGTGTGGTTCATCAGTGTGGCCTACACGGTGGACTTTTGGGAGTCAAGGAAGGAGGAGACACAGCAGAGCAATGGAAAGGAGGCTGGCCAACAACCAGAGTTTGTACTTCTGCTCAGTGGTACACTGAGGCAGGGCCAAGAGTCACCACCTCTCTTCCTCTCTTAGCACCAGAAAGGGACCAAGAGGAGGATGGGTCTAGTGGGGCACAGCACTCCTATTTTTAAGCTGGTGTTCACTTTATTGATAATATAAACTTTATAAATTTTATAAATTAAGTCATTGCTTGTTAGCAAACTTTGGCTGGAGAAGTAGAACATACATTTAATAATACTCTCCCTCGCCTTTAAAGAAGTCATAAAGCACTTACATTTCATAGCTTATTTGGTTTTTTTTTTTTACATGACCTTACTTCCTGCTCTTATTACAATATCTTTTATTCCTTTCACACCTTTTTCTGAGTGTCTCCTGTTTACTTGGTTGAATTAGACTGTCTTTTTTTCTCCTGACTTTTCTGGTGTTTTGCTTTGAAAGTCTGTTTTACATGGTACCCCTCCCCTTGTTTACATGTGTGTGGGCAGAGGAGCCAGACTAAGTGGTGGCTGCTGTCAGACAGGGTAATAGAATTGAAATCTTCACTTACCTATTCATCTGGGAGAGCTGATGAGTCTTTTCTCATGACTGGCACTCCTTGGTGTTTCAGATAGGGGCTCAGCAAGGAAAATAAAGTGTTGGTGTTGGTCAGACCCATAGTGGCATGATTATTACCTTGAAAGTGAGTTACCACTCAGGTCAGGTTGTAATATAAAATTACATCTGTATCTGTAAAATATGAGAGTTAAATAAGAATGTGGATTACTTTTCTTTGTTAGACTTTAACTTCCCCCCCTCTTTCTCATTCAGCTTTAGGGTAAGATTTTACATCCTCTTTCTGGGAGGCTTCAGAAAGACTAAAAGGATTTAAAAATTAGTGAGGTTCTCACTTTCTCTGTAGCCTCTTTAACAAGCCATAAAATCATGCAAAAATCAGGGGCTATGCCAGTAGTGCAGGGGTAGGACTCAAACACCCACGACCTTTCCCAAAACACTGTTATTCGTGGGCAGAGAAGTACCTTGCAGATCTGTGGCATTCAACAAGGATGTTTTGGGAATGTAGGCAGAGGGAGGTCTAGGAAGGATCAGTGGAGACCTGGTTTTGTAGCTCTTTGGTCAAAGCAGCCATGGATGGCTAAGGATAGGAATTTACACTTCTCTGAGATTTGGGTTGAATACACACGATATTTTCACACAGGTGTACCTATTGCAAGATAGCATCTTTTTCTGGTTTAAACAAAGCCAGAAAAAAACTGATTCCTGGAATGAGTGTTCATATGTGGAACTCTGTTTATAAACGAAAAACAATTTAGCTACAATGGCATAAGTATCTTCCTTAATTTCAGAAATAGCGTCCTTTGTGTCAGATACCTTCCCTTGCCATTTTAGCAGGAGCCACAAGGCACCCTCCATCTGGCCAGGCACAGAGATGAGCTGTAGGATTTCACCGTTTTGTTCCTACTATCACACAATCTACAAGTAGAGATTTTATTCTCAAACTGAGAATTCAACTCATTAAATCACTCACAGGTAAGATATGTAAAGGATGGGAAACGAAAAGATTTCTAACATCTTTATTCTACATACACTAATAAAAAAAAGATGAAGGTTATGCAGAGCAGTGGTAGGTTCCCCATGAACTTCCTATCAGACTCCCTGCTTCTCATACGTGACCAAACTCTATTTTTAATAAACCTGTTATTATAGTCCAGAGTCTCTGCCAAGTGTTTACAGCGTTGCCCTAAGTAACAAGTCTGAGCCAGGGGACTTAATTAAATGTAACCTGCTTTTTCAGTTATAGAGTAGTCCTTAAACATCAAAAGGCAAGTGGACTTTGTTAATAAAATCTGAAATCACTCTTTGTTTAAGAGTTCTTTACTCCTCACTGTATACAATCAGTTAGTTCTTAGAAGGCATATAGCATTTTCACAGATAATTTCCCACAAGCATTTACAGATTTTACAAGTAATATTCTGGCTTTATGTGAGAATCTCAGATCTCCTACTTTCTTGCTGAGCTGATTCATAGACCCCAGCTTGCGGGGAAGAATGTAAAAAAAATTAAAGAGAAATGTTTATAAAGGATGCCCTTTTGGATCTCACAATTTTTTAATGTCCTTATAATTTTAGACACTTACCTTTCCATTTTGGAGTACTTGGTTCTGCATATATTGCAATTATTTTTACAACTATCTAGGAGGAGGTTCTACCTATGAGGGCTTCTTCTAACCACAAAGCCGGTTTGATGAAGGTGCTAAAGAGCCATCTGAAAGTCTTGGATGGACAAATGCAGGTGACATGGTTGCTGTCTCCCTGGACAGAACTGCACACCTGCTAAGTGAAACCGGCTTTCATTCACAGCAGCTCACAGCCCAGTGTATTAAGATGAGGTCATTGCAGCTTATATTGATGTGTGGGACTAGAAACTGGAGTGGTCAGACCAGGCAGATGGGCCTGAACCCCCTGCTGAGGTCCGGCCTGACCCTCTGAAAGGAGAAGGGGTGGCTGCTGTGCTGATGGTCTTGCCTCCATTGGCGCAGGAAGAGCAGGTAGTCCCAGCCTGTGCTGCTGCTGGACCACACCAACCTCTGCCATCGTGCCTTCAGAGGGTAGGTCAGCACAGAGCAGGTGCTTTCCCAGGTAAGAAAGGTTTAATGCCCTTCTCCTCCCTCTAAGCGGAAGTTTTAACTTCCCTGTGCCCGCAGTGTTAATCATTTACATCTTAAACCCAGCCTGACTCTGAGATCCAGGCTGTGCAGGTCAAATGCAGCCACCTGGCAGGCCTGGAGATGTCAGTGGTATGGGATGCACCCTCAGCCACCATGACAGCGGAGCTGGGCACCTCTTGCATGAGGATAGGGAGGAGGGTGAAGGCAGTAATTTATTCCAGGAAAATATGCAAGAACAATGAATCACAGCTGCAACATCACACCCCAGGTGGGGCTGGCAGTGAGGAGTTACAGTGTGGTCAACAGGACCAGAGCAGTGAATGTCTTCCTATACTTGGCACTGCTGTGGCTACACCTCAAATCCTGTTCAGTTTCAGGGCCTTCACTGCAAGAAAGACATTGAGGTGCTGGAGTGTATCCAGAGAAGGGCAACAGAGCTGGTGAAGGGTCTGGAGCACAAGTTGTATGAGGAGCATCTGAGGGAGCTAGGGGTATTTAGTCTGGAGAAAAGGCAGCTCAGGGGAGACCTTATCGTTTTCTACAGCTACTTGAAAGAAGGTTGTAGCCAGATGGGGGTCGTTCTCTTTTCACAAGCAATAAGTGATAGGACAAGAGGAAATACTCTCAAGTTATTCCAGGGGAGGTTTAGATTGGATATTAGGAAAAACCTCTTCACCGAAAGGGTGGTCAAGCATTGGAACAGGTTGCCCAGAGAAGTGGTGGAGTCTGCTACTGAAGATTGCTGACTGGTTTGTTACTCCTTGCTCATTTACCTTCCTCTCATATCATCCCCCTTTCTCCAGCTGGCATGCTGACCAGAGCAAATGGCCACTAGGAGGTCTCAAGAGCAGGCCAGTGCAGACTGGGACAGGCTAGCACTGGCTATCTAGAGAGTTCATGACACTCCAGCTTCTGGAGGGTGCCCACACACAATCAGACAAACCTCAGCTGTCCCCATGTGGCACTGGCGGCAGTCCTGCTTCGAGCTGCAGCGAGGATTGGGGACCTCTAGCCACCTCTTGCGGACTATTTCACTGATGCTGTGAAGTCATTCACATGTTTTTCCCACAGCCACACTGGCTCAGTTTCCAGCTCCACCTCTAAATGTGGTATTGATGCATTCAGCCCACTCAGATAACTCCTGGAAAAAAACAGGTCCTCCCAGTGCAAAATGAAGTCAAAGCCCGGCATTTTGACTTCTGCAGATCTGTCTGAGTTGAGACACTTTTTCTTTTTCACAAGCTGTTTTTACTGCTCCTTGCATTCAGGTTTATAAGCTCTTTCTCATGGCATCCATCTGTCCTTACACCTGTGCAAAACTTTCCAATCTGGGTATGTAAGCAGCTGAAGACTGCTCCACTCTTGGAGACCGCATTTTAGGATAGCTGACTGCTGCATGCTATAGTGGTGATGAATCCCTATTAGATGCTTAAGGGATGACTTTGCCTCCTTACCATCTCCATCTGATTTTGAGTAGTAATAGAGAAATCACCAGAGCAGGCTGTGGGAAGAGCACAGCATTCCTGAGCTGGGTGAAACAACTGGTTTTGTGGAATAAGTGTTTGCTTGGGATCACATAAACGCTTCCAACTTGAAAGAACCACAATTTCTAGATCCCAGTTTGTTTATATTTAACTTTGTAGATCTGCTGTTGTGTGTTCTGCTGATCTAACTCTTGATGCTATACTGGTCTGACTGGATCGTGTCAAAGTTTGCTGTTTACATTATACAGTCGTCATGGTTTGAAAACAGGCACATAAGTACAAATAGTAGCATATTGTAATGAAACGCCTCGTATGCAAAGGAAATGTTCATGCTGTTCACCAGGTTTCTAGCGAACAGCTCTTAGTGACACTGCAGAGCCTTGGTAACAATTACTGTCCAAGTTTGATGAAAAAAGGTGTAAATGAAGA